CATATTGTGAGAATGATGACAAAGGAATGAGCGAAACTATGATTTTTATCGTGGAAGCATCACCGCAAATCGAAAAGTATCAAGCAATATGCCAGCAGATATCGGCTTCTGGACCTTTGTTCGAAATTTAATCAATACTCTTAAAGCAAGCACGTGCACGTGCAAAGTCGAATGAAATTAATTATGCGAGGGATTATTGTGCTGTTCGAAATAATTAAGGAGACACGTTATCGAAAATGTAGGAAATGTCACGCAGTTTGTTAATAATTTGATGTGCCAAACATTTCTGATTTATCTCTGGTTTATTTTCCTATTTCACACTGATTCTACTTTTTTATTGTCAAATTACGCTCAAAACACAATTCGAGAGATTAACACAGTTTCCAAACTCTGTTTTACTTTCTTTTCTCACGCTGATTCTACTTTTTTAATCTCAAATTCAGTCGAAATTAATTCAAGAGATTAACGCTGTTTCCGAACTCTGCCTTACTTTTTTATTGTCAAATTACAGTTAAAACACAATTCGAGAGATTAACACGGTTCCCAAGCTCTGTCTTACTTTCTTATTTCACGCTGATTCTACTTTTTTAATCTGAAATTCAGTTAAAATTAATTCGAGAGATTAACACAGTTCCCAAACTCTGCCTTACTTTCTTATTTCACGCTGGCTCTACTTGTTTACTTTCAAATTCACTCAGAATACAATTTCAAAAATTAACTCAATTCCCAAAAACACTGTACAATCCTTCACCCCAATCGAATTTCCACCTCCTATTTAAATCTCCTTCAAACTGTTAGATTTATCAGTCAGTTAGATATAACAAAAATTAATCTAACGCCTTACTAGGAAGTACTTTTGTATACGTTCGGAGAAATCCGTTTATCCTTACCACCTCTGTTTAGTGAAGATCTAAATGTTTATGATACGTGACAAAAGGCCCTTCGTTCCCAAGCAGGGTCGTAGGCAATATTAGGGCGTTGCGTAGGAGTATTCTCAGTCCGCAGACAGTGCTCTTACCATCAAGTAGAAAAGCGAACCTTCCCTGTGTCCAATAAAAGTTTACAGTTTAAAATAAGGATTATTAATTATTTAACAACCAATACAAACAGACATTACTCAACAAGGTACAAACTACAAAATGAATCACTGTTCCCTTAAAAAAGAAAACCAAAAAAAAAAAACAACAAAACTCCACCGTAATTATTTCGAAGAGTGCCAATAAACGCGCCTAAAATCCCTACAGACGATCGCACGCCTGCATTACCTCTGCTCTCTCGAGATCTCGAAATAGGTCGACGATTAATCACTGATCGACGAATCCACCCGAAAGAATCACTCGTTGAAAAGAAGGACGGTGTAGTAGCAAAAGGAGCATCACAGATATAGAAGAAGCAGGAGAGAGAGAGAGAAGGAACGACGAAGGGGTGGAAAAGTGGCATAAATGTTTCAGAATCGCGAGCATCTGTCGTCCGGAGGACTTTTTCAGTTCCCGAAGAGAGCTCGTTTTTGGAGCTGCTCAGGATGGCGGAGAGCAAGTAGAAGGAAGAGGAGAAGGGGGTTTACTATCCTCGTATAATGTATTATAAGTGGAGGCACTCACAGGGCCGTCACTACCAAACACTCAGAGCCCTCCTCCCTACCTTCTCTAGCTTCTATCCACCAGTTCGTCTCTCCCTCTCTCACACTCTATCACTCTATCTCTATCTATCCTCTCTGCCCACCTCCTTCCCGGTGAACCCCTCCAACGTTAAGGCTTCTCTGTACACTCCGCTTTCGAGTTATCGATAAGAACCGCAGACCTCTTTTGTTGGTTGATAGATAGCCTTTCAAAGCGACGCGAGGTCAAATATTCGACATGCCGCCGGTTCAATTTCGTGCCAATAATATCTATGCGAAATAAGGGCCGGAAGCCACCGTTCAAGCCGCTTTTCCCCGAAAACTTCGCGTACATCCCCCTCTCTCTCCCTCCACCCTCCGACGGTATATCGGTGTTTTATTCGGGAGAGAAACGTTGACGTTTGAAAATGAATTTTCCGGGGTCGCCGGTTTGCGATTCTTTCTTTTGTACGACAGAACGGGAGATGTACTTTCAGAATTGCGGTGATACCGTTCTGTTTTGTGGGATTGTCGAGATGTTTCCCTGATGAACGATTTTTTTCTTTTTTTACCTTTCTTTTATTTTATTTCGTTCTCTGGATTGTTTGATATTTAAAATTGCGAATGATAGATTTTACGATAAGAAATTAACATTCGTTGGAACTCTTTTTTTTCAGTCTGTGTTGTATTATAGGTTTCATTTTTTTTTTTTAATTATTGCGTTTGGTTTTTTGGATTGTTCAATGTTCAAAATTGCGAATGACATATCTTATGATAAGAAATTATTTGATTTTGTTCCTTGAATTGTTTGATATTTAATAATTGTGATTTACGGTAAGAAATTAACGTTCGTCGATGACAAAAGGTAATGAAAATATCAACAGAATGATTTTCAGTTAATTAAAATAGACCGAGCAATGTCAAAATCTGGCAAGCATCGGGTACTACAATTAAACAAAGAACTAATTAATTGAAGTAATTAATTTTATAATACGAAAAAATTGCCTCGCTGCTATTACAAATCTTGCGTAAGAACGTAATTGCAGGTTCTCTTTTTACATCGCCAGATATCGTTATTTAAAAAATTAAATCTGAAACCTTTTATGGAAACGGAATAAGAGAATTTAATAATTCAAGCTACTTGATTGAAAAGGGGAGAAAAGAGACGAAACTCTGAATACGTGTTTCGAAGGAAAGGGGATACAAAACGAAACCAAAAGTTATCTACTTTTTACAACAACAAAATGTTCGTGAAAAAAGGAACAGATAAAAGCTAGTAGCCTCATATCCAGAAAATGCTGGTTTCAGGAGTGTACAGGAATATAAGAGATTGAAATTTTGGGTTGAAAGCACGTAAATTTGCGGAAGGAAAAAGAGAAACTCGCTATTAATTCTTCTTTTAATACTTGTTCTAAAAAGAGAAAAAAAAATACAGACATTTGAAGAAAATAATCAAATAAGTCGAATTAATCAAACAACGTGATTAATGCACACAATTGATATCCTTCCGCAAGTGTATGAATTTCAAAAGGAACCGGCTCATTTTTCATCAGAACGAAACTGATTAAACCTTCGCAGGGTTTGAGAATTTCGTCCAGAAATGAAGCATGCTCGAATTCAAAAGGAAAACTAACCTGGGTTATCCACGTGTGACAAACCTTGATTACTCTTCAAAGAAATTTTCGCACTCGTCAGGTTTAATCTGCCGCGATTTCTCAGAATTCAAAATTACCCCGTTTAATCGGAGTGGAAATTTAATTGGAATTAATTTTTTTTTTTTTTTTCAGAAGTAAAATAGCGCGACAGATATCCTCGCAGCTATGAAATGTAAGATAAGTCACGCAATTGGGACGAGTCGTATTTTTCCGTTTAAGATAGAAAAAACTGACAGAAAGAAAAACTGTATGGCGTGGCAAAATTTATCGTGCTGTAATTTCGCGTTTTTTATGCGAGAGTTGCGTTACATGCACACAGTTTCTCAGTGCAGAACTTCTCTTTGATTATTCGATTCGTTTGCCGTTTCTCGCGTAACGATAATAAAGTGCAATGATAAAAGAAGATACCTATTTCGAATTTGTAAATTTTTCGTTGCAAAATTCGTGTGATTGTTGAACTCGTTTTATTTTGTTTCGTTAAAAATTTGAAATATTTCTTTAAACATCCTTTTTTATACTCTTTCATTGCCGTATTGCAAATTAATAATTATTTATCAATTTTTCAAGTTTGGCACTTATAGGGTTTTCTTCAAGAATTTTTCAATTACGCTCTAACTACACATACATACATCGATAAAAATGATAAATCTCTCAACTGACACATAATTAAAAAAAATATATCAAATGACATAGCTGTCAATTTTCTTTTCTAAAATTCGCATTTATTTTCCAATTGCGTTCAAATCAAAGATATTCGTATCTGGAGACACTAATAATAATTGTTTGTCAATTTTTCAATTTTGCATTTGTTGTGTTTTTTTCGAGAACACTTCAATTTCGTTCTAACTGCACACGCATACATCGGTAAAAATGATAAAACTTCCAAATGACTCACACTTAAAAAAAAAAAAAAGAATAGTAAATGCCTTCAATTTTCTCCTCTAAAATTCGCATTTATTTTCCAATATTTTCCAATTGCGTTCAAATCAAAAATATTCGTATCTAGAGACACTAATAATAATTGTTTGTCAATTTTTCAATTTTGCATTTGTAGTGTTTTTTTCGAGAACTCTTCAATTTCGTTCTAACTGCACACGCATACATCGATAAAAATGATAAAACTTCCAAATGACTCATACTTAAAAACAAAAAAAAAATAGTAAATGACATAGCTTTCAATTTTCTTCTCTAAAATTCGCATTTATTTTCCACTCCAATATTCTCCAATTGCGTTCAAATAAAAAATGTTCGTATCTAGAGACACTAATAATAATTACTTGTCAATTTTTCAATTTTGCACTTACAGTGTTTTCTCTAAGAACTCTTCAATTATGTTCTAACTGCACACGCATACATCGGTAAAAATGATAAAACTTCCAAATGACTCATACTTAAAAAAAAAAAAAGAATAGTAAATGACACAGCCTTCAATTTTCTCCTCTAAAATCCGCATTTACTTTCCAATATTTTCCAATTGCGTTCAAATCAATACCCCGTGTAAAATATCACCGGCAAGCGCGACAAATTCAAAACTTTTTCGAGCATACTTCATTCCCGCCGCGAGGCGTCCGGAACAAACGTGGGATCTCCCGCAGAGTAAACTGTACGCGCATCTATTTAGCAATTAAGGCATTAAAGCACCGAGCTTGTGCATATTGTTAGCGATAAGCCGGTGGCCACGCAAGCGGCCCCGTGCACAAATGTACGAAAAAGGTGGAATGTGTTAAGAAATGGGTTTGTGAGGCCAGGTGGCGTGGATCAAAGCGGACACCAAGGCGATCCTGGCGATTCAAGAGAGCGTGATCACGGACAACTCGCGTTTATCAGCGACACACACTGACTACAACACGTGGACGTTTAGCATTCGCGGAGTAAGGCCAGAAGATCGAGGCATTTATATGTGCCAGGTGAACACGGATCCTATGAAGAGCCAGGTATGGAAAGACTATCCTTCACGAATAGAGCGAGTGTACGATAAAGAAAAAAAAAAAAAGAAAGAAAGAGATGAAATAAAGAAAGAAGGAAAGAGGAAAGAGAAATCCGGGTCAGATTTTTATTGTACGCGATGCATTCGCATGGAGGGCATTCATTTTAAAGTGAAATCCGTTCTCTGCTTGGTGGAAGTAGTGTTTTCCACCAGCCTGCTCTGCACAGGGGGCAGCTAAATTCCGCAGAATTATGTTCTGAAATTTTGGTGGAATTTGCATCCTTGAAATACGACGATCTGTCGTTGTTTTCCGGGCTTAGTTAATACACCCGCTTGATAATCCGACGTCTTCAGCTCCAACGGTCGAAGAATGACGCTCTAATTGCATGGTTCACATACCTCGATCTAGAAATTCGACAAATGGCAGATTGACAGTTTTTTATTTGTCTTTGCGAATGGTTAAGTACTTTGGATATTTCTGAGTTTTAAATTCAATTAATCTAATTATCGTCGTAACGTTTGTTTAATGCTCTTTCTAAACAGATTGCAAATGCTTTAATCGGTGAAAAGTAAAATTTCACTTAGAACTGGAATATAGTTTTTGAAATATTAACGCGAAATTCAATACCATCCTCTACTTCTATTTTTATCGTTTCTTGAAACGAGTAGATTAATTGAATACGTGAGAAGAAGAAATGAAAAATTCATTTTTTGGGAAAATCAAGGAAATTGATTTGCAGGTAAATTAATGATTGAAACGGAGAACCTTTCTATTTTAAATTTATGCTTCAGAATTTTGAAATAATTTTAGTAAATAGCGAAATAGCTGTGGTTATCACAGTTCAATTTTTATCTCTTCTTCAATTGAAAACCTTAATCAAACAGCTGAGAAGAAGAAATAAAAAATTCCACTGCACCTTTTTTGGGGAAAATCAAAGAAACTGATTTTCAAAAGGAAAAACTATTCATTATGACGTTATCCTTCACAATTTCAAAATACAATAATTTCAGTAAATAACTAGCCATAGCTATCTCCATCACAGTTCAATTTTCATCTATTCTTCGACCAAGGAGCTTAATTAAATAGATAAAAAGAAGAAGAAGAAGAAATAAAAAATTTCACTGCACCTTCTTTCCAGAAATTGAAAATAAAAAGATTCTTCAAGATCAAAATAATTTTAGTTCAATTTGACCTAAGTATGGAATCTCTTCTTTCCTCTTCTCGCCCGTTCAATTTTACTTCCCCACGCTATTTCTCATTGCTTCACAATACAACTAACGATCCATCGATACGTTCAATTTGCAGAGTGCGTTTCTAGAAGTGGTGATACCGCCGGACATAATATCGGAGGAGACCTCGAACGATCTAATGGTACCTGAGGGCGGTTCCGCGAAGTTGGTGTGCAAAGCTCGCGGCTATCCAAAGCCTGAGATCGTTTGGAAGCGGGAAGATGGCGCAGAGATTATTTCCCGTGCCGGACTTGCCGGTGGTAAAACGAAAAGTAAGCACATGTGTACGTATATAAAATTACACCCGTTATAACGAAGCGGCTGTATTCGATTTCCATCTTGATTAGGTCTCAAATCGCGACAAACAAACATTTTACAGCCGTGCTTCTGGAAAGTGATCATTGTTTCCGAAAGTAATCCCCCTTTGTCTGTCACGTTTCAATAAATGAATATGTAACTGGAGTTAAGTGAGAACGCTTTTGGCTTTTGTGAATAATTTTTCTCGTATTCTATTAAAGCAATTGTTTCGATACTCGAAAATTTTAAATAACTCTTGGAACCGTTGTACGAGATGTATAAACCTATGGTTTCGTTATTTTTCTTTCATGTATATACAGGGTGTCCTAATTTTTTCGGAGCAAACTTTGTCAGTATGTTCTATGGGTATAGGTAAAAGAAAAATGTTATATGAACATAGGTCGTTCGAAGCTTCGTTAAAAAGTTATAGGAAAATTACGAAATACGAAAGAAGTTGTAACAAACTTGCGGTTGCCATGGATACGAGACAAAAATGGCAGAAGTTACATTGGACATCTTCAGTGACCTTAGTAAACACAATTCCTATTTTGTGCCATAACCTTAAATTCGTTACAATTTTCTTCGAATTTCGTATTATTGTTATAACTTTTTAACGAAGCTTCAAACGACCTATGTATATATAACATTTTCTTCTCGTGTATGCCCATAGAACACACTGGCAAAGTTTGATCAAAAAGAATTCGGACACCCGGTATATGAGGATTTACTGGAAATTCCATCGAAACTATTCTTCGGAAGGTTCTTCTCTTCCCGTATTGTCGGAATTTTGTGATCTTTCAGCAAATATTTTCACGCGGGGGTGTACGGGGGGGGAGGGCGAAACATGAACGATCTTGAAATCGAAGGTGCCACATATTTTAAATCGCAGTCAATTGACAGTGAATAAAGCGGGGATTTATCCGGCACTTGGGTCGATTCGAGTATGCGAAAAGATTGAGAAATGGCGATGCCAATGATGCGTATATAATATGGTAATATGTTTCCGATATAAGTAGAGTGGCTCGTAAAACAGCGGACTGAGATTGGAAAACAGGGGTAATACCCGGGGTTCGAGGCCAATTCGTCAACGTTACCCGGTACGTTTAAATTCATAAATCGTAACTTTTCGGCAGGGGAGAGCTGTTTTTTCCTTCCTTCGAATTAAAAGTGCAGCGTCGACGAAAATTTACTCGCGGGAAACGGTCGAAATCCGATGTCCCGATTTATTTAGAACTGTTTACCCAAATTTCGTCGCGTAACTTAAACCTAACCTAACTCGCGTAAATTTCTTTCGACGTTTGAAATTATTAAAAAAATTCCGCGAAAAAATTCCATCTTGCATGGGAAAAGTATATTTCCATTCGAATGTTGAATTATTCTACGAGAAATTTTTCCTAATAACGTTTAATAAATTCCGTCGTTTACTGTTCTTTTTTTCTTCTTTTTTCCTCCAACCAATTTTCCGTTTCAACGATATGTTAAATTATAAATCCCACATATTTTCCTAGCTCAATCATTGGAAATTGGTCGTAAAATATTCGATAGGTGAGAATTCTTCTATGTAGCCATAGAATTCGCGGGTGAAACTTTCCTTCGAGATAGTTCGCTCGCATCGAATCACGCGAATATTCGCGAACGGTGACACTTATCGAAGTGACGGTTTAAGCTGAATTACCAGTAGACACTGAACGAACGGATAATTTAACGCTCGTGGTATAATAAAATGTGAACATGTCAGGTTTCGTAGATTGCTGATTGGTCACGTGAGAAATGAGACATCAACTTGTAGTAAAATATAATATGCCACGCTTGTTTCTTCAACTTTCTTCTATATAGATGTGCATATACACGTTTCTTCTTAAATGGCGAGATGTTGGAAACAATTTGAAAAGGAAACTTTTCACAGCGTGGACTTATGGTACACGCATCGCATTTTGCAGTGTTCTCTCGTTTTCTTTTCTTTTAGGTGTTCTCGAAATTATTTCATTTCTTACATTTGCGTGTATACGGACTTTGTAGAGAAGAATTTGAGGTTAGGTGCATACTTTTGTGAGATTTTGGTAGTTGATCAGCGAGTCGACACACTTTAATCAC